AGAGAGAGAGAGAGAGAGAGAGAGAGAGAGAGAGAGAGAGAGAGAGAGAGAAAGAGAGCATGCCCAAGACTAGGGTGATATAATGAATTTCGGTGATTGATCTCTGACATATAAGGTGCTCGAACAGGCTATACACACAAATTAACAGCTCGATGCTGGGGATAGTCTTCCGCGGTGGATTTACCGTGTACGCTCTCTTTTTAATAGGCTGCGTGTTTTTCTATTTCTAAGCTAATGTACTGGGGTAATAGCGTACAAGTCACAAGTTGCTTTACCAACAAAGAGAATGTGTTTTNCGGTGCGCGCGCATGCGCAATATCTCCTGAGAGAAATCGTATTTTGCAAAGATTATGCATTTAAAATGAAGAGGAGTTATGCTAGCATAGATTTATATGATAACATTCCATCAGTAGACATTATTTAAGAAATAGGTGGAAGACCTTGCATGTAAGATCCCCTCTGCGTGTACCAGCCAGTACACATTCTGGCTAAGTTAGTGTGTTAGCGCATGCGCAATATCTCACCAGAGGCGTTATATTTTGTGATGAATGTGCGTTTAAAATGGTTAGGTGGCCTATCATCAACATAGTTTTCCCTAATAAACTTTTATCAGTAGATCTGTGTTTATAATTAGGAGAGCGCCCTAGCATGTAGGGAACAAAACACCTATTTTATGCCTTCGCGTCTTTCCCCTTGCCTCCCCTGTCCCTCGCTCAACCTCTTTCTTCTTCTACCGCCCCAGCTATCTTCCCTGCTGCTATTCCTCAGTCTCCCATCCCCTCTCTCCCTCAGCAAGCTATATTACGAAGTTGTCTTCAGACGGCACTGCATGCCTAACACGGTGCTCGCGCATGCGCAATATCTCCCGAGAGAAATCGTATTTTTGAAAGATTACGCATTTAAAATGAAGAGGAGTTATGCTAGCATAGATTTATATGATAACATTCTATCAGTAGACATCATTTAAGAAAAAGGAGGAAGACCTTGTATGTAAGGTCTCCGCTGCGTATACCATCTAGTACACAATGTGGCTACGTCAGTGTGTTAGCGCATGCGCAATATCTCACCAGAGGCGTTATATTTTGTGATGAATATGCATGTAAAATGGTTAGGGGTATCTGAGCATAGATTTCCCTAATAAACTTTTATCAGTAGACCTGTGTTTATAATTAGGAGAGCGCCCTAGCATGTAGGAAACAAAACACCTATTTTATGCTTTCGCGTCTTTCCCCTTGCCTCCCCTGTCCCTCGCTCAACCTCCTTCTTCTTCTACCGCCCCCAGCTATCTTCCCTGCTCCTATTATCATTCTCCCATCCCCTCTCTCCCTCAGCAAGCTATATTACGAAGTTGTCTTTAGACGGCACTGCACGCCTAACACGGTTCTCGCGCATGCGCAATATCTCCCGAGAGAAACCGTATTTTGCAAAGATTACGCATTTAAAATGAAGAGGAGTTATGCTAGCATAGATTTATATGATAACCTTCTATCAGTAGACATCATTTAAGAAAAAGGAGGAAGAACTTGTATGTAAGCTCTGTGCTGCGTATACCAGCCAGTACACAATGTGGCTACGTTAGTGTGTTAGCGCATGCGCAATATCTCACCAGAGGCGTTGTATTTTGTGATGAATATGCATTTAAAATGGTTAGGGGGTATCTGAGCAAAGATTTCCCTAATAAACATTTATCAGTAGACCTGTGTTTATAATTAGGAGAGCGCCCTAGCATGTAGGGAACAAAACACCTATTTTATGCCCTCGCGTCCTTCCACTTGCCTCTCATGTCCCTCGCTCAGCCTCCTTCTTCTACGAGCGCCCCAGCTAACTTCGCTGCCGGCTTTCCTCAGTCTCCCATTCCCTATCTCCCCCAGCAAGCTCTATTGCGAAGTTTTCTTTAGACGGCACTGCACGCCTAACACGGCGCGCGTGCAAGCGCGATATCTCCCGAGAGAAATCGTATTTTACAAACATTATGCATTTAAAATGAAGAGGAGTTGTCCTAGCATAGATTTATATGATAACATTCCATCAGTAGATATCACTTAAGAAATAGGAGGAAGACCTTGCATCTAAGGTCCCCGCTGCGTATACAAGCCAGTACAAAATTTGGCTACGTTAGTGTGTTAGAGCATAAGCAATATCTCACCAGAGGAGTTATATTTTGTAATCAATATGCATTTAAAATGGTTAGAGCGTATCTGAGCATAGATTTC